AAAAAAAAAAAAAAAAAAATTTTTTTTTAGAGAAAGAAATGTCCTAGCTGTGCAAGGTGGTTTATACTTGTAATCTCAGCACACAGGAAGCTGAGACAGGGGGATTACAGTGAGTACAAGGCCAGCCTGGGCTACATAGTAGTAGGTTCCATGGCTGCAGTGAATGTAAGACTTGTGTCAGAAAAAAAAAAGTGGGAGGTGGGCTGGAGACAGAGCTCGGTTGGTAGAGTGCTTGCCTAGCTAGATAGGTAAAGCTCTGGGTTTTGTCCACAGAACCTCATGAACTGGGCTTGGCATATAGGCACACACCTATAATCCCAACATTAGGAGGTAGAGATAAGGAGGATCAGAAGTTCAAGATCATCCTTGGCTACATAGTGAGTTCAAGGCCATCCTTGGATACATGAGACCCTGTCTCAAAAAAAAAAAATTATTTTTGTTGCAAACAATAAAACTGAAGTCTGGATGACTTAAAAATTTTTGTTGGCTGCAGGGAGGGAGGCTATGGAAGGGTGCTATTTGGGAAGTAGGTGTAAAAATAAATTAAATAGAAGATAGATAGATGATAGATAGATAGATAGATAGATAGATAGATAGATAGATAGATAGATAGATAGATAGATGAAATAATAAATAAAAATTTTTATTTATTAAAAAAAATTTTTTTTGTTGGCTCCCTCATAGACGGAGGGACAGGAACACAAAAGGTCAAGAATGGTCAAAGGATAGCCAGTGCTCTTAGCCACTAAGCCATCTCTCCAGCTCCAAAATAAACCTGTTTTCTTTTTTTAAACAGGGTCTCCCTGTAGCCCCAGCTGGCCTGGAACTCACTTTGTAGACCAGGCTGGCCTTAAACTTACAGAGATTCGCCTGCCTCTGCCTCCCAAGTGTTGGGACTACCGCCCAGCGAAAAAAAAACCTTTTAAAAAATTTATTTTTCCTCTTTTCAGGGATGGTGGCACATACCTTTAAGTCCTGTACTCATGAGGCAGCAGCAGGCAAATCTGTGAGTTTCAGGCCAGCCAGGGCTACATACTGAGGCCTTCTCAAAACAAACAAAACCCTTTTCTCCTCTGTTGGAAACTACTCCCTTAGAAGCCTTTGCTATATCACATTACGTGTCATTTTCTGTTCTTGTCTCCTGTAGATCTGTGGAGTCCTAGAACAATCCACCTCCCCACCCTTGAAGCTGACTCCTGTTCCAAGCATCCACCCTAACCTCCAAACCTATCTTCAAGGCAACACCCAGGTCTCTCGAAAGAAACTTCTGCCCTTACTCCAGGAAGCCTTGTCAGCTTACTTTGACTCCATGAAGATCCCTTCAGGGCAGCCTGAGATAGCAGGGGCATCCAGGGAACAGGTGGACAGGGAATTGGACAGGGCAGGTAACTCCCTGATTTCTGGATTGAGTCAAGATGATGAAGACCCTCCACTGCCCCCAACGCCCATGAACAGCTTGGTGGACGAGTGCCCTCTGGATCAGGGGCTACCTAAGCTCTCAGCCGAGGCCATCTTTGAGAAGTGCAGTCAGATCTCACTGTCCCAATCTACCACAGCCTACCCGTCAAATAAATGACAATTGGGAGGGGAGGGAAGAGTGGAGAAGGTGGCTTGGCCCACCTCAGATGCATGTATTGAGATGTTTGACAATGTCAGCAGCTGTGTCTCCGTTGCTCCAGGATCTGGTGTACCGTTTTCATAACACTGGGAGGAGAAAGGAAGTAAAGAAAGCAGCTGCTTAAGAATGGCTTTCTGCCTTTTCTCTCCAGTCTTCAGACCAGTTTTATTATTTAATTTTATTATTTAAATCTGCACTGATTTTCCTCGGTTGAGTTTGCCATGGGTACAGTGTGATATACCCACTGTCCAAGCACAATAAGACTGAAGAATGTAGACCCCATCTAAGTATCTTCAGTAGTGGTCTTGAACAGAGCCAGTGTCTGTCCTGGAATTAACGTTCATCGCTTGTCTTCATGAATTGAGTTTTTCACTTTTTTAAAGTTTTTTGAGACAAAGACTCATGTAGCCCTGGTTGGCCTCAAACTCTGTATGTAACTAAGGCTGGCCTTGAACTCCTAATGCTCTGGGGTGCTGGATTATAGGCCCGTGCTACCATACCGAGCTAGCCTCTGTCTTGAACAGGTGGTCTTGCCTCCTGTTTCTTTGGTTCCTTCTGTCCCAAAATCACAGGAAGCCTGAAACTGAGGACCTGTGATTTTTGAGAGTTCATGTGGCACCCAGGCAGGCTATAAAGTCTCATCGGCATTTTAGCCGAGATAGTAGAACTGGAATGAGAGCCCTGGATGTGTCCCCTGCGTTAGTCGGCCTGGCAGTTTCTGCCTGTCTCTTTCTGGTTTTGTTCACATTAAAAGAAAGTATGGAATTCTAATACTGCCATAAATTGTCTTGGCAAGACATTTCATTACTCTAGGTCTCATTTCCTCCCCCTGCAAATCAGGGTTAGGACTAGCTGTTCCCTGGTTTTCTGTGGAGGGCATCTTGCTGCCATACTTTCTCTCCTCTGATTCTATCTTCTTTCTGTCTTCCCTGGGAATGCTCAGGGTCACTGGTTTGTCTATATTTATGTGTGGTTGTACGAAGGGACTTAGCGTCATGGAGCATGTACAGGAGTGGAATGGTGACCCAGCAGCTCCCCCCTCCCACCGACTTGTTCTGCATGTGCGGTCTCCTTTTTCTCTCCAGACCAAGCTGTTCCACTATTCTTACCCTATGGAAGCTGCCAACAGTGTAACTGTAGGGTGTGCGGTGGTTTGAGGACGGCATCTGGTGTGAGGGGGACAATCTGACTTCCCTTTAAGCATATGTCTGTAGCCGTTTAGAATGTGAAAATAGTGGTGTGCTCACTGAACCAAAGGAATTTATGTTTTGTAACTTTGGTACTTTATTTTGCATTTTGTTAAGTATTAAATACTTTTTTCCTGTTTAAGGTCTCCTTGTCTCCTTTTACAAGTCTTATCAGGCCTTTCCCTCCAATAACTGTTGCAGCCTCCCACAGTCATCTCCCTCCCTCCCTCCCTCCCTCCCTCTCCTTACTCCTGACTCAGCAGCAAGCTATCTTCCCTCATCCTCAGCCCTTTTTTTTTAAATTTCTTTTCCAAGAACTTTCCTTATAATCAATTGCTTTCTCAGGTTGTTTTATTTGTTCTTTTTTTGAGATAGTCTCCCAAGCTGGCCTGGCTGACCTCTAACATAACAGCAATCTTCCTGCCTCAACCTCCGAAGTGCTAGGATTACAGGTGTAAGAAACCCAAAATTTTGTCTCAAAATTTTCCTCGCTTTGGAAAAGTAGGCCCAAGATGGTCATGCACTCACAGTTTCCATTGTTACCTTTTATGTGTTCATGTTCTGAGAATTGAACGCGGTTACCATGCGTGCTAGGTAAGTGCTCTTCCACTAACCTGTATCTTTAGCCCCTTTTAACTTTTCATTTTGGAACAGAGTCTTAGTAAGTTGCCCAAGCTGGCTTTGAATTTGTAGTCCTGCTTCAGCATCCTAAGGGGCTGGGATTACAGGCTTTTACCCAAGACCTGCTTTTTTTTTTTTCCTTTTAAAGAGTAGCTTCTGCCAGGCGTGGTGCTCGCCTTTAATCCCAGAACTCGGAGGCAGAGGCAGGCAGATCTCTGTGAGTTCAAAGCCAGCCTGGTCTATGTAGTGAGTTCTAGGACAGCTGGGGCTACAGGGAGACCCTGTCTCAAAAAGACCAAAAAAAAAAAAGTTTAAAAAAAGCCAAGGGGCTGGGAAGATGGCTCAGCAGTTCAGGACACTGGTTGCTCTTAGAAGACCTAGGTTCGAATCCCAGCACCCACATGGCAGCTAACAACTGTCCTCCACCCGAGGGGATCCAGTGGCCTCTTCTGACCTCCACAGGCATTGCACGACATGGGTGCACTTACCTACATGCAGGCAATACACACATACACTTAAAGAATAATATGCCTTTAATTCTGGCACTCGGGAGGCAGAGACAGGTGGATCTCTGTGAGTTCAAGGCCAGCCTGGTCTACATAGTGAGTTCCAGGACAGCTGGGGCTATATAGGGAGACCTTGTCTCAAAAAAAGACCAAAAAAATAATAAAGTTTTTTTTAAAACCCAAGCGTGGTTGTGCACACCTTTAGTTCCAGCACTCAGGAGGCAGAAGTAGGCAGATCTCTGTGAGTTCAAGGCCGGCCTGATCTACATAGCAAGTTCCAGGCCAGCTAGGGCTACAAGGAGGCCCTGTCTCAAAAAGAAAAAAAAAAAAGTACCTCTCAGGGCTAGAGAGAACCACCACTGGAGTTAAGATTCCAGCACAAGCTGGGCATTTTTTTTTTATATCTTATTTTATGTGTATGAGTGCATTGCCTGCGTGTAAGTGCACCCATGTCGTGCAGTGCCTGCAGAAGTCAGAAGAGGGCATCAGATCCCCTGGAACTAGAGTTACAGGTAGTTGCCCACCATGTGGGTGCTGGGAATCGAACCTGGGTTCTCTGCAAGAGCAGCCAGTGCTCTTGTTGAGTCGTCTCTCTAGCATCACTGGGCATTCTTATAAAAGCCTGTATCCCCAACTCCATGAAGATGGGGCAGGAGAGATGGTTGTTGCTCAGCAGTTAACAGTTGTCAGCTAACAACTGTCCATAACTCCAGTTCCAGGGGAATCCAACACTTTCTGACCTTGGGCATTGCAGGACACAGGTGCACTTACATAAATGCAGGCAATACGCTCATACACATAAAAATAATAAAATATTTGTATTAAAAAATGAGCAGAGCCGAGCATGGTGCTGCACACTTTTAATCCCAGCACTGGGAAGCAGAGGCAGGCAGATCTAAAAAAAGAAAAAAGGAAGATCAGTGGTGCTTGTTGGCATCTAGCTTAATGAATAGTGAGAGATGAGGTTCAGGGAGAGACCCTGCCTCTAAAGAATTGACAGAGCTGGGCGTGGTGGCAGGCACCTTTAATCCCAGCATTCAGGAGCCAGAGTTGGGCAGATCTCTGTGAGATGGAGGCCAGCCTGGTCTACATAGTGAATTCCAGGACAACTGGGGCTACAGGGAGACCCCGTCTCAAGAAAAAATAAAAAAAGAATTGGCCAAGTGACAGAAGAGAATACCCGCTTCTGGCCTCCATGCTTGTTCACAGGCAAATACCTTAACATACACTCAGACACACAATTACTAATCATAAAAAATAAAATAATCTAAAAAATAAAAAGTAGCTCCTAGCAGGAGCTGAAGCAGGAGGACTGCCGCTACATTTCAGGGTCAAACTAGGCTATGATGAAAGACACTTTCAAAATCGAAAGATCTGGGAGCTGGATCTGAAGATAAAGCACTTACACAAGCATGAGGACCAAGTTTGGGTTCCCAGAACCCACATTAAAGCTGGGCAGGTGTGGCATCTGCCTGGCAAGGATGGGATCCCTGGGGAAAGCTGGCTAGCTAAAACTAGTATAATAGGCAAGCTCTTGGTTCAGTTGAGAGACACTGCCTCAATAGAGGATGTCATCTGACATCAACTTTAGGTGCATATAGGTGTGCCTATACAGATGCATACACATGTACACTTGCACAAAAAAAATTTTTTTTAAATCCCCTTTTAAAAAAGAAACAAGAGGCGTCCAGGTTTTATGACATTTGGAAGGAGAACAAATTGCCTTAGGAGACTCACCACCCTAGAAAATGCACTCTATCCGAAAGCCCGCCCCCACACCAGAGTCTGGGTTTTCTTTCCGGCAAACCTGCTTCTTGGGAGGAGAGGTAGCAAAACCTGTTTGAAGATGAGGTTACCTCCCTTCCACACCTCCTGCCTCCTTAGAGGGAAAGCAACAGCTGAGACTGAGAAGAGTGGTGAAGTGTCAGGGGCTGGCACAGACCTCCCCGGCAACTAAGTGTTCAAAGAGCACAGGAAGAGTCCTGAAGATGGGAACTAGGCTAGAAGCAGGAACGACAGCAGAACTGGGGTAAGTGTGCACTGGGCTTACTTGATTAGAAAAGGCTCAAGGAGTTTTCCTACCACCTAGGCCTTACCCGGTCAGATGTCAGCGGTTCCTCAAAGACTATGAAGATAATTAATTTGCAGAGAAGGGATGGGGTGGCTTTAGGTAAGAAATGTAATAGTATGGAACTGGAAATGAGAGTCCAGAATAATTCTCTGGATTAAAAGCAAGGTTCCTATGTTTTTGTGATAAACCTGTCCATGTCCTGTTTTTGGTTTTGTTTTTCTAACTTGCACCCTCTAGACACCAAGAAGCTGACCCAGAACCGAGTTTAGGTCCAGACTGTCCTTCCTAATCTTCCTCTGTCTTCTACTGGTGTTGTGTTTTCCCTATCATAGCAGAGGAAAGACAGGCCTGGCCTGACTAGGTGCCATCTGCCCCTACTTTGCCCAGGGTTAGCTGGGCAGGTCTGTCTGGGTTCTAGCCAATTGTGTGGGCTATCTCTCACTCCCCTATTGTAGGTGGAGCTATTGCTGTAGAGGCAAATAGGATTAATTAGCTTTATAGTCTGTCTCTTCTTCCAAAGTCAAATGATCTGCTGGCAAGTGAAGGTGAAATATCGTAGATGCCAAAGCTGAATGTCCTATGAAATGTCATTACACCATTGTCTGCCACCTACTGTCTGGCTCTGGTCTAGCTTGTCTCATGATAATCTTTCCTCCCTTTTAATTTTTATTTTATGTATGAGTGTTTTGCCTGCATTCATGTAAGTTCACCTGTGTGTGCAATGCCCACAGAGGCCAGAAAAGGGCGTCAGAGCCCCTGGAACTGGAGTTACAGAGGTTGTTAGCTGCCATGTGGGTGCTGGGAACCAAATCCAGGTCCTCTGTAAGAGCAGCCGGTGCTCTTAACCACTAAGCCATCTCTCCAGCCCGATAATCTTTCTTCTGGGGCCTGTCAGGTCCAGGGAGAATGCAAAAGCAACAGAATCAGGAACAGCCCTGAGACTTGGAGAACTGGAGCTAAAGGAAGAATGGCAAGATGAAGAGTTCCCTAGGTGAGGCAGTTGGCAGAGGGGGAACTGGGAAAAGGATCACAGGGAGGGCGAAGTAGTGCTTGAAGAGGCAAGAAAACAGGGGAGGAAGTCATGGTGGGAGGAGAACCGAGAGATGGCTGGCTGGCTTGATGCCTTTAGCCTCTGCCTAAGCCACTGTTTAATCTTTCCTCTAGATTGCTTCCTGAGGAGTCAGGCTCTTCTGGGAATCCTGAAAGAGACTCACAGGCAGGTAGGAAAGTAGAGACTAGACCTCAAGTTTGGGGTTCTATATTTGTGGAGTTTGTTTTTGAGTTAAGGGTCTCATATAGACCAGGCTGGTCTGCACTATTGCTATTTTAATTTTTTTATGTGTATACATATATTGCCTGAATTAGGTAAGTGCACCCCTGTTGTACAATGCCCATGGAGGTCAGAAGAGGCTGTTGGATCCTCTGGAACTGGAGTTACAGACAGTTGTTAGCTGCCATGTGGGTGCTGGGATTCAAACCCGGGTCTTCTGCAAGAACAGCCAGTGTTCTTAACTGTGGAGCCACCTCTCCAGCCCCCAATTTTTCCTTTTCACAGTTGCCCCTTGTGTTACTTCCTCATTCAGAATTTACCCCATATCCTCTGTTTAAAATTTTTTTGTTTTGTTTTGTTGATAGAATCTCAACTCTGTAGCCTATTGACTTCAAACTTTCAGCAGACCTTTTGCCTGTCTCCCAAGTGCTAGGATTAGTGATGTGAGCCACCGTGCCTGGCTTCAGGACTTCTACAGACATGAATTCTTTGTTTGTTTATTGGTTTCTTTGTTTGGACACAGGATCTCTTGGGCCCAGGCTGGCCTCTAATTTGGTATGTGGTCAAGGTGGCCTTGAATTCTTGAGCCTCCTGTTTCTGCCTCTAGAGTGTTGGGATAACAGGCATGTTCCACTTAAATAAAGGAACTTCAACCACCACCAACTCAGACATTTTTATGGTTTTGGTTTATTTCCCTCTCTTCTTCCGACCACAGGTACCCCCAGCACTCTAGCCCTGTGTGGCCAACGCCCTATGCGTAAGCGTCTTTCTGCTCCAGAATTGCAGCTGAGCCTTACTGAGGAATCTGGAGAAAGTGGAGCTTCTCCCTCCCACTCTGCATCTTCTTCTTCTGATGGCAGTTTGGACCTGGAGATAGATGAACTGGAAACACCTTCAGACTCTGAACAGCTGGACGGTGGACATGAATTTGAATGGGAAGGTGGGAAACAAACCCAAGAACAGAGCTGATAAAGTAGAAACCAATGTAAAATGAAGCTCAGGATGGATAGATAGGCCTAATGTTAGGGAAACAAGGTAGCAGCCAAGAAGAAAGACCAACAACATGAAGTTCTTCAGAAGGGAAAGACAAAGCTTCCAGAGCCAATGCAAGGTTAGCCAAGGACTGGAGGGGAATGACTCTTTATTAAGAAAAATATCGAGGGGCTGGAGAGATGGCTCAGCAGTTAAAAACACTGGCTGTTCCTGCAGAAGACCCGGGTTTGAATCCTACCACCCACATGGCAGCTAACAACTATCTGTATCTCCAGTTCCAGGGGCTCAGATAGCCTCTTCTGTCCTTCGCGGGCATCGCACAACATGGGTGCACTTACCTACATGCAGGCAATATACACATACACATAAAAAGAAATAAAATATAAAAAAAAGAAAAATATTGAAAGAAAAGACTTGCCTGTTCTATGTTGCATTGAGCTAAGACTGAGGAGTTGTTGCTATAGTTGTGTTTGGGACAGTGTTTCCCTTTGTTTTATTTTTATTTATTTATTATTATTATTATTATTATTATTATTATTATTGGTCTTTTTGAGGCAGGATCTTCCTGGCCTGGGACTTGCTATGTAGACTAGGCTGGCCTCGAACTCACAGAGATCTGCCTCCTTCTGCCTCCCAAGTGCTGGAA